TGCACTACTACTACTACTACTACTACTACTACTACTACTACTACTACTACTACTACTACTACTACTACTACTACTACTACTACTACTACTACTACTACTACTACTACTACTACTACTACTACTATACTACTACTACTACTACTACTACTACTACTACTACTACTACTACTACTACTACTACTACTACTACTACTACTACTACTACTACTACTACTACTACTACTACTACTACTACTACTACTACTACTACTACTACTACTACTACTACTACTACTACTACTACTACTACTACTACTACTACTACTACTACTACTACTACTACTACTACTACTACTACTACTACTACTACTACTACTACTACTACTACTACTACTACTACTACTACTACTACTACTACTACTACTACTACTACTACTACTACTACTACTACTACTACTACTACTACTACTACTACTACTACTACTACTACTACTACTACTACTACTACTACTACTACTACTACTACTACTACTACTACTACTACTACTACTACTACTACTACTACTACTACTACTACTACTACTACTACTACTACTACTACTACTACTACTACTACTACTACTACTACTACTACTACTACTACTACTACTACTACTACTACTACTACTACTACTACTACTACTACTACTACTACTACTACTACTACTACTACTACTACTACTACTACTACTACTACTACTACTACTACTACTACTACTACTACTACTACTACTACTACTACTACTACTACTACTACTACTACTACTACTACTACTACTACTACTACTACTACTACTACTACTACTACTACTACTACTACTACTACTACTACTACTACTACTACTACTACTACTACTACTACTACTACTACTACTACTACTACTACTACTACTACTACTACTACTACTACTACTACTACTACTACTACTACTACTACTACTACTACTACTACTACTACTACTACTACTACTACTACTACTACTACTACTACTACTACTACTACTACTACTACTACTACTACTACTACTACTACTACTACTACTACTACTACTACTACTACTACTACTACTACTACTACTACTACTACTACTACTACTACTACTACTACTACTACTACTACTACTACTACTACTACTACTACTATACTACTACTACTACTACTACTACTACTACTACTACTACTACTACTACTACTACTACTACTACTACTACTACTACTACTATACTACTACTACTACTACTACTACTACTACTACTACTACTACTACTACTACTACTACTACTACTACTACTACTACTACTACTACTACTACTACTACTACTACTACTACTACTACTACTACTACTACTACTACTACTACTACTACTACTACTACTACTACTACTACTACTACTACTACTACTACTACTACTACTACTACTACTACTACTACTACTACTACTACTACTACTACTACTACTACTACTACTACTACTACTACTACTACTACTACTACTACTACTACTACTACTACTACTACTACTACTACTACTACTACTACTACTACTACTACAACCAGTTGATTTGTTTTTACATCGTAATTGTTATTGATTGAATGAAGGATGTAATCACTATGGTATCGTTTATTCGAAAGTTGAACTATCAATCATCACATAAAACATATTGATTTTGAAATAACCATTTCTGAGATGATGTTTTGCAGCTAATTGAATTTGTATTTGTATATCTTTTTTTTATCTCAATTACTTTTAGATGTATACTGAAGTGTATATGTATATGAGACTGGTATACACTATAATACAATGGGATTTTAAGGTATAGCAACTTGAACCGACGTATATATATGTATATGCTTGGTCCTACGTTGTAGCTGACTGACTGACTCACTGTCTAACAGCGGGATTTCATGCACGCATACAGTCGTTACTGGGTAACTGATAACAGAAAAAAATGTTGCGATAATTATAGATTAGAGGATTGATTGTCTTTAATTATATGTGTAATCATTTGTATTTCTGTTAAGTAAAGATTCAGTGAATGGTTTATGTATTTAATCTTAGTACATGTTATGGACAATAAATACACGATCTGATTAGTTATATGTAATTGAGAAAACAAGGGGAGAAATTCGAGTAATTATTAGACTATGTTGACTACTATTGATGAAAATAACATCTTGAAGAGAACAGTTCCATTCAATTAGATGATAGTTTCTATTTAAGCTTGAAAATATTGAAAGAGAGATTCTAAACTTGAAGAAGTGTCGATCAAGTCTGTTTATGAAAAGATGAGAATGTACGACGTCTGTTGTGCTTTTGGACTGTTAATTTAAAAGAACACTAATCAAATAAATTTATTTTTTGATTAAGATCATGAAACAATTGTTGTTAGACCACTATTGGAAACCTGAAGGCACTGGATGGCCGTTTCGTCCTTTTGTGGGAATCCTCAGCAGTGCGCATCCACGATCCCACTCGCGGGATTCGAACTCGAGACCTATCGTCCTCGCGTGCGGACGCCAAAGCTCCAGGACATTGAGCCGTCATCACTTGGCGTTAATGTCTAACCTCAACTAATCCACGAAATTGCACAACCATCTTCTGTTGTACTGAGGTAGACTCATGTCTTCACAACTCAGTACTGATAATTACCATACGCCCACTAGTGAGGAAATTCTCGGAGTTCTAGTGAGAAGCCGTGACCAGTAGAGCTAATCCGTGTCAGGTTGAGAAAGGTATCTACCTTGGTGAAATGGAAGATGGTCGCGCGAATTTGTGGATTAGTTGAGGCTAGACATCAACACCAAGTGAGGTCAGATAGTAACACCGTTGGATGTCGGCTCGGTGTTCTAAAGGACAAGCGTTCACATGCGAGACCGAAGGCCCTAGGTTCGAATACTTTGAGCGGGATCGTGGATATGCATTGCTGAGGAGTCCTACAATAGGACGAAGCAGCTATTCAGTTATTCCAGGTTTTCAATGGTTGTCTAACATCAATCGATTCATGATCACAATCAAAAACTTGACAATCTCCACATTCCTATACTGAAAAACAAATTTATGAAAATTGTCTAGGGATACGATTCCTGAGAAAACATAAAACAATAATATAGCTGAAACGGCTTACATATCTGAACGTCAACAGTTTATACATTAATCGGAAGCTTTGAATACGGGGAATACAGTAACACAATAATCCAGGTATAATCAAAAATATCAATAATAATCTTCTATATGTTAGATAAGAAAGTTTACATATCTTCAAATCTGCCATGATACAACAAAACTTGTGAGCTTCACTGACTTAAACAACAGATATTGTTGTATTATTGGTTTTTAATGAATAAATCTTCCCGTAGTTCATGTTCAAGAATTTCTCTTTTGACTCATATCCGAGTTCCCTGAACGTTGGTATTAAGTCACTATGATTAAAGTAAAGATGAATACTAGGTGGCAGGGAGATCTAAAACATCTTTTTGTCCTCATTGATATTCTTCAACTGAATATCATCTCATTTCAGCGAATATTTTCACATTTGGACTTGAACCTACTCTTCTGAATTCTACTGCTAACCGCTAAGGATTTCGTTTGGAGAATCAATATTTCGGTAAACATGCTGATGGTTAATTATATTTACAAATAATAATACAATTTATGTAATATACAGTCACCTTTAAATGAGTAAAAATATTAGATTTCAGACATTGGAACGTAATGTCAGTGGTTCTCTTCAGAGAATTGAATTAATACATACTGTAATAATACTGTGGAACAAATCACTTATTTTCCTAGTACAATCCAAAGAAATATTATTATAATTATGTCATTATCTTTGAGATCACTTATGTGAGAATATTTATATATGTACTCACGTGTATGTCTGGATATGATTACACCC